GTTATAGATAGAAAAACTAATTGCACCTAATAAAAGGTGTAAACCTGATCAAAAGTTAACTAAACCAGCACAGTCAGAACTCTGACACTTTTGCCCAATACTTGTCTGAGAGAACTGTGAATGGTTATTCAAAGCAAGTTTCACGCGTCGGCTTTCTGTTTGCTCCAAATAGATCAAGTTTATTTGACTAACGAATGCGTTCGTCCTAAACCTTATTGCGACCGGATCGCAAAGATTAGTACGGTTGTGTGCATATCATGTTGAAGTGGACCGAAGTTCCCTCGCGTGGAGAAACTTCGTAAAGTTTCGGAGCTTTTGGTTGTGGATGGATTCTGCATTTGGAGAAGTTGTCACAACAAATTTTACACGATAGAAAAGTTTGGATCACGTACTGGTTGCACAACATGTTTGCCTCCGAAAACGTCTTCTATTTCACTTCATTTGTGCTTTAGTTTAAGCATACTTTGTGTGGCCGATACAAGGTCAATTTAGCGTACAAGTACTCGCCATGGTACAACCATGTGTACGAAAGTGGTGACGCTGAGGCTGTTGATGAAGCACAAAAATCCTGATATGGCTGCAAAAATGATTGTGTTGCCTTTTAGTACCAGGGCGTAAACTAACTGTGTTGTCTCCAAGAATTGCAAAGGGTTAGTCGAGCATGATAAGGATCAAGGCAACTGACTACCGTAAATCTGTACGGTATCGAACTATGAGCAGTATTAATCACTGAGTCCGTGAAGAATTCGGTATGGTAATTTAAGAATGTTTGTGCGGAATTCCATCAAAACCAAGTCACTCTTTAAAATACGAGTGTTTTTCACAGTTCTCAGAAGAATAACCACATTGGTCGTCTAGAATAGAAATCTTCAACGTGTATGATGCAAGTGAGCGTAATCTTTGTGGAGCCATCCAGGTTCACAGGGCATTGAGAAGGTGATCTGTTAAGGAAGCTGTGTTTTTAGAGGAGTTCTTCGGCCTTTCAGTTTAGTCTATTTACGACTGTTGCTAATGTAGGCGATAAAAGCCCCTGGCTTGTGTTACTTAGTTGGGTCCATTGCTACCTCAAATTCAGTTTCGCTTTCAGAATCAGAACATCTGGAGCCCCGTGCGGTTCACCTCTGGTACCTAACTTATCCTTCTAGCTTCAGTTACCTGTTTGTACCAGGCACTGTTCTGCGTGGTATACGATATACACCATGTTTTACATTACAAACCAAGAAGGCTTTCCTTGAAAGTTGGCTGGAACAATTGAAAAGACATGTTGGTATCGCTGTCAAGAAGGCCCAAGCTTGGCGCTCTGGAGTGCCGATGTTATAGATAGAAAAACTAATTGCACCTAATAAAAGGTGTAAACCTGATCAAAAGTTAACTAAACCAGCACAGTCAGAACTCTGACACTTTTGCCCAATACTTGTCTGAGAGAACTGTGAATGGTTATTCAAAGCAAGTTTCACGCGTCGGCTTTCTGTTTGCTCCAAATAGATCAAGTTTATTTGACTAACGAATGCGTTCGTCCTAAACCTTATTGCGACCGGATCGCAAAGATTAGTACGGTTGTGTGCATATCATGTTGAAGTGGACCGAAGTTCCCTCGCGTGGAGAAACTTCGTAAAGTTTCGGAGCTTTTGGTTGTGGATGGATTCTGCATTTGGAGAAGTTGTCACAACAAATTTTACACGATAGAAAAGTTTGGATCACGTACTGGTTGCACAACATGTTTGCCTCCGAAAACGTCTTCTATTTCACTTCATTTGTGCTTTAGTTTAAGCATACTTTGTGTGGCCGATACAAGGTCAATTTAGCGTACAAGTACTCGCCATGGTACAACCATGTGTACGAAAGTGGTGATAGTAAGCCTCACTCTGAAAGAAGGCACAACCACTAACCCACCGCTACGCATCAACACGCTCCCCACTAATGCACTGATAATGTCACCTCGATTGATGATGAAACGTTTGCAATCAAATTACCCAGCTCAGCGAACAAGCCAACGACCATCTACGCTACCTGAGCTACCGACATTTTTCTCTATAGAATAACCAACTAAAATAGTTGTTTCAAAAGGTACTGTCTTCGTAAAACTAACGAGATATAAATGATGTGGATCTGACATTCAGTGTTAAAAAATAACATTTGACGTTGTCATCATCATCATAGGGCGTATCATCAACGCTGACAATGATGCTTCACTGCCGCACAACCACAAAGTGTATTTGCTCTAATCTGAATAAACAAAACAAAGAGAGTGAAGAACCAAAACGCATTTTGCCACCTTACTGCATGCACTTCGGAGACAGGTTACGCGTGAAGTAGAGGCTGACACGGCACTACTTGGAACTCTACGTGGAATGCGTCCTCCACTTAATGTAGTCTATCTTGCTGTGGTATAATATGCCAAATATCAGTATGGAAAAACTCTATAATAAGAAAAGCGAACACGTGTGGCTGAAGTAGTTGCCGATAACAAACTGTCCAAAACATCCGAACCAGAGCTGGTAATATTTCAGTGTTTTCTTTTCGAAAACATTGTTCCGTTGGTCGATTTCTTTCAAACTTCGAAGATGGCATACTCACTGAAGAGTCACAAAGCTATTCAAATAGGAATGTGGGAGCGGTGAGCTGTAAAAGGTCATAAATCTCAGACTTGCCACTAAAAGAAAACCTTTCGCATCAGTAGTAGATCGTTATCAACATTTTCGTTCTTCGAAAATCTTCCGTCAACTTTCATTCCTCCAAACAGCCTCTTGAGTCTTCGGAGAGGAAAAGTGAAAACGTTTGCACCAGTCTTCGCGATTGCGGTTTCTCAGCTTCGGTTTCCCATAGGACTGTAACAACTTGTCAAGTGTAGTAGAAAGCAACGAAAGGAAGTTATATCAATGTATTTCGGCCATAAAAGCCTTCAAGTTGACATCTCATTGGGCACAGCCAGTTCTCAGCAGGGATTTCTATGGATGCATAGCATTTGCCTCACACATTGAGCTTCTTTGAAGGCCAAAACTTCACATTCTGTTACATTACTTATATGATAAAAACCCGCCGCTTATTACTCACATTACAAATGGTTGTATACAAGAAGAACAACGACAAGTCACACGTCTTTTGAAAGAATGGATACGTACGGAGACCGGCGTCGTACGATTTTTAGGTATGAGGTCTTGAGGGCCAGTGGGTGTAAGCAATAGAATATAATTACTATGTATCAAAAAGGCTGGTAATAAAAGTGGTGCAGAGCTCTCGCTGAAATAGGCATAATCATTAGAAATGTTCCTTTTGTTGGAAAAGCCTCAAAGTTTAATTCAAGGCAAGTGAATTAGCACACACGTAACTTTTTTCCACTTAGCGCCTAAAACCAAGTTCATGTTGGTTTGTGAGAAAGAAGAAAGATTTGAGTTGAAGAAATATCCCAGTCTGGGTAGTAAACAGTTGGAAATACTCAGCCTTTCCTTAGACCTTGCGCAACAATTATGATCACTGTATTATCAAGTGATGCAAAGTTACCAAACTCTGATTTGGATCCTTCAATGCCTCGGGAATTCAAATGACGGAACAACCGGAGATATCATGACCGTCCTTCTGGAAGATGACGGAACTAACTGCGTACATAGAAAATTTAATAAGAAGTCACACAATAAAATGATGATATTCTGGGATGTATTAGGAAATTTTTACACTGTAAATTCCTTTTGATGGTTCATGTTAAACATTCAAACGGAGTGTTCCTGACTTCATTCGGCCCAAGCTGGAGTCACGGAATACAAGCTGACCTAAGCGATGAGCGACCGTTTGAGAGATGGTCTCAAGGTAAAATAGTAAACAAGGTTGACTGATTATTCACGTATGCGTGCTTATCTTCCCGAATTCCGTGAAGCACTGTAAAGGTAAACACTCGGCCATGTTGAAATCCAGAATTGCTACTTCAAATTGTTTTGTGTTGTACTTGTTCCTGTGTAGGTTAGAGCTTTCATGGGTAGTTTTATTAAGCGTGAAAAAATCGGACGAAAACTAACTAACTCGTTCAATGTAACTGCATAAAACTGCATAAATATGTGACTATATAACCATATGCTTGTTCAGATACTACGATAAATGGCGTCACATTCCTCCGCTAGAGTTAAACTAACACCCTTAGACGCCATTAGAGATTGCCATCTTCGAACACCGCCTAAGGGTCAGAGTGGTACATTTATGTATCGCGAGCCATTCGCTGCCCTTGTTCTACTAATTTGGCTACAGAATCCATCGTTAGGAGTGCATGTGACACACGACTGGTGGTGTTGTGTTACCCAAAGCTGAATAGAAGTCTCGCTTCGCTCCAAGAAGAGCTCACATTGTTCGGGCGGAACTACGAGTTTTCACTAGAGCACAAACACTGGTGTTCACTGCTGCCGCGCAAAACCCTTTTGTGTTTGGTCCACCGGTGAATTGGCTGTCGATTTGGATTGGTCGGACAGCGTTTATTTGAAGTTTTTGTACGCCTTTGCTAGAATACTAAAATAAATAAGCCCTGGTTTGGATTCGTTTTTGGTCGTACATGGTGGGGACCTTTAACGAATGTCTAGACTGCGGTTGCCTGAATGCGCATTGATTTTTGTTGTTACACTGTATTTTACTACATTCTATGTTACTTGGTTATCTCTCATGGTGCTTATTAGAAAGCACTGTTTCAAGGCAAATGTCGGGTTTGGGACAGTCGACACAATGAGGCCATGCAGATAACTATCGTCAATAAGAGGGATCCTTGCACACTTCCCCCCATGGCGCTTCAGAAAAGAGTGTTTTTATCTCACTGAACACATTCCAAACATTAAAGTCTACTCCAACACGTTGAAACCGGTTATAAACGTAAAGGCTACGGAATGCATGTCAAATTTCATGGAAAATGATACCGCTGTTTCATGAGACTTATGAACTCGCCGTTTGTACTCTACCAACATTTCTTTGTAAATCATAGAACATGGTGCTTGAAGTGAAAACTCTCATTATTCTATTGTTGACAGGTTACTTCTCAGCAATCCGAATTTGATGAAAGTTTTCAGGCCAATTCAGTCAATGACACTTCCGCAGGCTCTCAATTCCAGTTACCTCGGTCAACTTTCCATAAAGTTTGTTGATAGCCTATTGGAAGTGGTTCGGAATTATAACGACCAAGATGTACTCAGACAAACCATTATTCAGCTGGCCAATATTCACAAAAACCGGGGAATCACCGTTGCTCATTTTGTGGTAAGTTTTATCAACTACAGCTGATTGAAAATAGTTCATTCTAAAACTTGGGAAATGCGTGAAGAGTATGTAGTACCAATCAACTTGTATGGGAGATATTATGATAAAATAAATGCGTAAAATCTTGCTTAGTTTGTTTTACTGCTTTAAGATAATCATCAGTGTGAAATATTATGGGGAGCTGACCATATGCATAGTTAACATTTACAAACCCACCATTTTACCTCACTTTTATCGGCAATACTACCATCAGGAATTTTCCCACCCATTTCCGTAGTAATACATCTGTCATCACGCCTCTATAAACGATAAAAGGAAATCGCTGTTGATAGTGTGAGGAGATTTGGGATTTTTTGTAGAGATTTCGTCCTGTAAGTGAAGCCAATCTATGCTGAAAAGCCGAGAAGCACCTCACTTACAGGACGAATTCTCTACAAAAAAGGAAATCGTGTTATACTTGCCTCCGCCACATCCTTTCCATGTGAACTTTGCTAACGCCGGCTGCTGATCGAACGTGACTTCACATTAAGATAGGAAAGTTCCAAAGGACTCTCAAACAAGTCTAGCCTTGATATCTGTTGGTCCCGTGCATCCACCTATGAAATTTGGTGTGCTGTATTGGACATCTCATAAAAGTAATCTTATACTGACAAAACTCTGGTGTTCTTAAGTAGGACAAGGGCTGCGGTCCACCTTTTATAAACCGGATATGATAACTTGCTCACCGGAAAGAACTGCTACGAATAACAACAAAGTGGCATTCGCAGTGAATAGTTCATTGATGGTTTTTTGAAGAATCTTGGCCACCCCCGAAATTGCGACTTGTTAAAGAGACATATGTACTTCTTTTGTGCAGCAAAACAGGGGCAGAACTATTTGTCTTGTTGGGCAAGAAAACCTATTGAGTTAGAAAAAACCGTAGGGGTATGTAGAAGATGACGCTAATCAGTTGATCGGCAAACCGAAATTTTGCGACCAAAGTCGGCTTCAAAGCAAGGCCTGGTTAAAATTCACCTGAATGTTCACTGGTAAGTTAGTTAAAGCGCGCGCCAATCGAATAAGCAACGCTATTTCAGAAGAAAATATGCTGTGATATCGTAAATATCGTGTCAACTGAAACCTCAGGCGGCAGGGCAGTCAACTGAAGAATATCATGAACGAGAGATTCATCTGGGATTCGATTGACACTTCCGTCATCATCTCCTCAATCCGTTTATTCGGTCTCTCAATCAAATTCCGAAAAGTCAGTTTATGCTCCCCGATTTACCGGACCAATCAGTAACTAATGGAACAACGATACGATTAGATTTCATCCTCAGCCCTTTATTCCATTTTGGTGGCCATGATAATCATGAGTGGAAAATTGTTTGCACAATACCTTGACTAATCACTGGTAGCGATTTAAAAACCGCTGTTCAAAATTGATCTCTTTGCAGAGAAATTCATGCGACTGCTTTCTAGTTAGAGGGATGTGACTGATATCAGCACTCTGGTTAGGGATTTGCTAGCCAGTCAGCCCAAGTCTATTTACCATGATGAGGTGATTTCCCCCAGTTGACGGCGGACAATAGGGCTTATATGGGTATCTCATTTGGAGGGATTCACACTTAGGAAAGATCATAGAACAATTCATCATGTGGTACTTGATGAGGGGTAATGATTGTAATTGTCTGCTGGTATTCTCGCCCTATTATGTAAGGTGTGCCCTGTATTTGGTTGTCTGGCACATAGTTCCAACTTTAGAGTAGCTTGCTCAAAAAAGCCTAAAGCAGCCAACAGCTTTGAATACCGATGTTGTGTTTTCTTGAGAGGGCCAAGGTACTATCAGTGTGTAGGCAAGCTTGGGCTGTTGATTCACTGCCTCCTATATTTAAATATAAGCGAAAGAAGATCTTTACTATTCTGATTTGTCGTACAGAATGTTGAATTTTAAGGTAACGAGGAAGGAATTTGCTTTTGAGACTCGCTTGAGAGAGAAATTATGATATATCACAGTTACCAAGCTCTATTCTAAAAAATGCACTAGCGGTCTTCAAAAATTAACAACTGCTAATTTCTTCATCCTTTTTGCAGGCCGTGATACCGCTGTTCACAGATACACTGGCAAGCTTTCTCCATATCGAGGAGAACAAAGAAAGTTTGCAAGAAGTGCTTACAACTATACTCCCAATGATTGGAAAGAGGTTGTGAAAGAGGTTTCAAACCTGCAAAGAAATATGCCCAGCTTTCGCTAATACTTCTGCAAAACTACATATAACTTTACTAGGAGAGTCTGGTGTGCCCGTCTGTACAGATGTCTGGCACCTCGAGTGTTAGTTTGATGTTTTTCATCGGAATACTCCTGCTCTAAATATAATATATTTTGTGGAATCCTCGTCAGATGTCCACCCAAAATGTTCCTTGAAAGAATCGACTAGCCCTCATCCTGACAACTGCTTCCCATTTGAAGGCATTTCCTTTCGAATTTGAGCAACTTGGAAGTAAAACCAACCATCAGTTACTACTTTCTCTTTTAACTTTCATTTGTTTTTATCATAGAAAAGCATTGTGAAGGAAACTCGAATAAATGAGTTGGTTCCGGTGCTCAAAAGGTTTCTTCACCTATAAGATGGTATTATGATGGATAGACGAATATTTTGTGCACATCATCGCCTGCGTGGATGTGAGTTCAGACAACCGAGTACGATTGAAGTGAATACACAAAAACTCGCAACATCGACTCCATGCACACCAAATTTTCTTACGATTGCTACTCTGACCCCAACATTAGACAGGGTAATTTGAGCTACGGAGCAAGCAGAAGCGGCAAACTACCAGTATAGGTCACATCCACTCCACAATGCCTAGGATAATTCCTCGATACCCCATTAACGGTAGAGGATGGCGAGAATCTTCTGATTCATTTGACATGCGGTTTAAAACAAACTTCTAGCTCTTCTTGAGTTACAAAGCGATCCTTTTCAGGAAACCGACAACTCAATCTGATTTGAAATCCCTCGAAAATTTACAGAAGGGAGTTACAAAGCGATCATTATTCAGGAAACGACAACTCAATCTGAGTTGAAATCCCTCGAAAATTTACAGAAGGGAGGAAGGATTATCCAAAACGTTCTTTTTATGTCATTATTTATTGATCATTTGAACTAAATCAGTGCTTTCGTGCAATCTTGGCTTGTTCCATCAATGCTTTTCAACTGTTGTGGCAATGAAAATCGAACAGGAGGATCTGTTTAATTTGAGTAAAACAGTCAACACCTGTACTTGATTCAGAGGGAGTGCTCTAACATTACCTTTCACGTTTTCTTGTCGCGTTTATAGAGATCTTTGGTTAAATTGGCCAAATTTATGTATCTACTGAACGGAGCCCTGCAAGACCCACCTTATGATCCGTAACAGTATGAAGGACTTCCCAATGCCGACAGTCTATGTTCAGACTCAAATGAGCGAAGTCTTTAAAAAGTCATGCCACATCATAGACTATTTTATAAACCTTAACTAACTAAGTTCAGGCGTTATGAGGCTCTCTAGAAAGATTTGTCACCAAGTTGAAAGCACTGGAATATGGGAATTGCAGATAGGACCAGAATATACATGGTTTGGTATCTTTCACACTGACATAGCACACCTGTTGAACCGGGTTAGATTAGTGATCTCGCGATATCAAATACGAGTAACGGTAGGTGCTTAGTGAATCAGTATTGATAAACAAGCTAACTTCGACTCTGGACATCTGAATTGCGAGGAGAGCTTTCTACCAAACCCCGAAACCAACAGCATGTTTCAGTTGTCCGGTGCATTACTTAACTGAGAATTTCTGGAAGATGGTTCAGTCTGGCAAATTAACTGTGTTATAGCACGAAGCGTCGGGTAAACCAATTAATTCACTTAAGCATGGACATGTTTACCTGTTGGAGTGTGACAATCAAGATGCACCCAGCACATGCTTGAGTGGTGCTACTGTCCATCAAATGTCTGGGGTTCAACTTACGGCACGACCAAAGCTGATCGGCTCAAGTTAAAACGATACTTCCCCACTTTTATATGGGCTTACCAGAATAAGTGCGAAAGAGCGGGATGGGGACTGTCCAAATTAGAGTGATGTGGGGATGAATTCTGCAGATCGCGGAACCACACTCAGCCAACACCGTTAGAATTTCGACTGTGTAACTGTAAGGGAGCGAGCTCCTAGCCCGTTCACCTCGTTCAGTAGTCCAGGGATTTAACGTAAACGTGGTCGATCGCACGCAATATAAAAATACATCACTGCTGGTCATGATACTAATCCCTTCAATATATTCGAATGATATTACAATAAGGACAATAAACAAGAACGACGACCCACAGGAATCAGACTGCAGTTTCTGTGGTTCATGTTGCTGACACCTCAGAAAACTCTAAATGTATAGTAGAATTACACATATGCTACTGACAAAGATGGTGAGTAGCTTGTTTATCCAATTGAACCGAACGAGGGCGACCAATATGTTGTCCAGTCATGCCTTTCGGTGGCTAATTCACTGGGTAAGTAAATGTAACTCCGCAACTAATGGGAGAAGGAGATTGCGGAATTAAATACCGATGTGCGCATCATATGAGAGCTAGCTTCAATGTACTTAGTAGGTTCTACGTTTCCTTGACCAAACGAAACAAGTTGCCAGCACGTTTCTTTCAACGCTTATAAGGATTGTTTCATCCACAGAAATCAACACATAAAAATATTTTTGACATGGTGTCTTCGACGAACTGTGGGGAATCACAATAACGTAGTAAAACTATCGCACTAATATAAAGCAAATTATTCGTAATAAGAATAAGAATAAGCCAAAACTGAATGTATTACACATGGCTTAACATGATGGCAGATCGAGCAAGTAGCTAATGTCACCATATATATATATATATATATATATATATATATATATATATATATAAAATGTTTTTTCACACTTCAGAGACA